TTGGGAAACATAGTGAAACAAATACAAAATACAAAAAAATAACAAAAGTTAGCCAGGTGTGGTGGTGCACACCTGTAGTCCCTCCTTCTTAGGAGACTAGGTGGGAGAGTCGCTTGAGTCCCAGGGGCAGAGGTTGCAGTGAGCTGAGACATACTATTACACTCCAGCCTGGGTGACAGAGCCAGACTGTATCTTAAAAAATAAAAACAAAAAAAGAGACAAAGAAAGAGAGAGAGACAGAGAGAGAGAAAGCAATTGAAATATTCTATCCTGATGCCTTTAAATTCAGAAAAGGGGGACTGGATTTAGAAGCCAAGAAATGCAAACAGCCTTTGGAAGCTTAAAAAGGCCAGGAAATCAATTCTCCCCTCAAAATCCCAGAAAAAAACAGCCCTGCTAATATTTTGACTTTAGCCCAATGAGACTGATTTTGGACTTGTATCCTCTGAAACTTTAAGGTAAAAAATCTATTCTATTTAAGCCATCAAATTTGTGGGAATTTGTTACAGCAGCAATAGGAGTCTGATAAAACAGTACAGATAAAGTACTAAATAAGCTATGCAGAACATTAGGACAACTCAAAGAAATATTGCTTACTTCTATTTTCTTTTCCAAATTTTAGCAGCCCAAAATCTAGGAAAACTTAGAAAACTCTTTACCATGGAAAATAAATGAAATGCATTCAATAAAGCCATTATAATAATTTCATATCAGGATTAAAAATGGGTAAGTTCCTCACTATCTACCCAACCACGACCACGCGAGGATCACTTTCTTGCTCCACTAAATTCTGCCGAGAGGAAAACAGTTTTGCCTCCCAGGACAGTCAGGAAGCCTGCTGGTTCACTAACCCCCACAGAGTTGCAGAATCCAGGTATAGCATGGGGTCTCTGTGCCTCGCTTGACTAGCATTTTTCACTAAAAGGCATGCTCTGTCATATTTCATCCACAGGATGGTTCTAGATTAAGTGGATCACATAAAAATGTGTCAGATTACTTTATAACAAAGACAATAGATAAATTAAAGAGTGTTTATTCTCTCTCTATGAAATGGCAAACCTGGCTTTTACTCCTGTGGAAACAGCATTTATTTCAACTGCCCAGGCACTTAGCAAACAGCATTCTTGTTTTGCTGTGAATCCAGTTCTCCCTAATTCCTGAGAGCCTATTACATACCCCAGAGAGCAACACTCACTGGCATTATGTTTTGTTGCGTCTTGATAAGCGCCATCTGCCACACTGCACGGTGCTCAGGAAACGGCTGCAGCTTTTACTGCATGATATGAAACTTAAGACAAAAGTCAAAACTCAAGAGAGGTGAATACCTTCAGTTTCTAAAGGTGGCCTCAATTCCAATGCAATGCATTTTTTTTCCCTACCTAGTAAAAACTCGTGATGTTTATTGTTCCTAATGAGAACACTTTTAGGGCAAGAATGCAACTCTGAGAAAATCTCTAGCAACAGTTTTCATCCCTTCTTCCCTCAAAATCTTACAGTGCACATAGCAACTTTATTCAAGCCCGCGCTTTAATCTTTAGAGATTCATCTCATTTACATCTGAAAAACATCACAAAATTTGAAGAAAAGAAAGCACGGAGTTTCGCATTTTTGAAAAGATTTCAGAATTGCTAGATGAGTCCCAAGAGTTTCAGTAGCCCCCCTCCCATCCTGGGTGAAGAGGGCCGGTTTCCTGGGCTCACCCGCCTGCATCCTCTCCAAGGAGGAAGCACAGCAGACAGTGGGGCTGTGAAACGAGGCCAGGGAACCACCAAGGTGGCGGTGGCCACTCAACCTCTGGGAGCACTGGCTGTCTCTCTTGCAACTGCTAATGAGTACATTCAACTGGGTGTTATTTATTTATCTAAACAATGACTGAATGTGTTTTCAGAACACATACCCTTCCTGAATGAAGAAGTTTGAAGGGCATTACTGTTTGCCACAGTGACTGTGGCTGAAGCAAAGGCAGTTAGTGGTGCAGGGCGAGCAGGAAGTGACATGTGGAACCCAAACCTGAATTTAATCAGTAGCTTTGCTGGGCCTCAGTGTCTCAGGGACCTCTCCCTTCTATGAAGGCTGCACAGATTGCCACTGAACAGTTTTTATTTGTTTCCTTAAATCTATCAGATTATATCTTACTGATTTTTTTTAAACTAAGATAATCTCTTCTTCCAATTTAATTACATGCTGGTCTGAAAAAAGTACAAAGACATCTCATCCTTGACGCCTATTTTCTGAAGCCCTAACAAGAAAGATACCGCATTGTAGGAGTAGACTTTGGAAGTGGACTTCCAACTTTTGTGACAAAATGCACTTGGAATGTAAAGTTGTATTCTAGTCAACATATTTAATATAAGTTTTTATTTCTTTAATGTGTCCCTTGTCACTTTCTTTATTTGTAAAAGAATCACTGGGTCTTTTCTGAAACTGGTAGATGCATGTCCTTCTATTACCTCCCCTGATGGTCCCGTCCTTGAGCTCCACGAGGTCAGTGTGGCTCATCTGACCCCTCAGCTGACCGTGGCAAAGGACGCCATGGGCTTTTGGCTGCTCGGGTCTCTTCAGAGAAATATAATGCTCAGGTAAGGTCAGTGACCTCACACTGCTCTTATCAAAGCTTTTCCTAAGAATATTAGGTTACATAATCTGTCTACTTGGAATTTCAGTTCTCTGTAGCCTTGGTGCTATTTTGAAGGAGATTACAGAGCTGATGAAAAAAATATTAAACATGTCTTTCGGGGCTAACTTGCTCCAGTCTGTACTGCTGAGAAAGGAAACCATCCCTCCCAAAACATTCAAACCCTGTAGCACACACTACAGAAGGACCACCCATGAAGGCTAAGTGCTACTTGTTGAAACTGTGGAATTTTCTAGAACGCAGATGTAAAACCTTATTGAAAATAGGTGTATGAAGATAAACTGGATAACAGTCTCAAGTTAACAACTTTCTATGTCTCTTAACGCAGAATCTAGAATTTGAGACACCTCTAGAACAAACGAACAAAAAAAGAAATCAGTTACTGAATACCTTTGCTATATAGGTAGTAAGATGACAAAATATAAGTTTTAGAAACAAACCATAATATTTGCTAATCATCCCAATGAAAAGGCAGTGTTTCCAGTTATATCCCAGTGCCTAGTACCACGCCTGCCACAGCCTTGGTGTTCACTCAATATTTGTTGAATGAATGAACTAATATCATGGATCCCTGTTTTCAAAAATGAAAGTGATTCCCATTCAGCAGTCCACACACAGGCAAAAGACTGGTGCCAAAATGCAAAGGATATTCTTTTTTTGCTCCCACCACAAGACACTGTGATGAAATTTTATAGGGTGAATTAACTCAATACGACTTAACAAACAATAACTAAGCATCCATAATATGACAAACACTGCTAACAGCATAGGTAATGTGAGGAAGGCCCACAGGGAGAGGGAGCACAGTGTTCATGGCCAGTCATGCTAATTACTAGCCTTACAGCCTGGGTTCCCAGCGAGAAATACACAAACCCAGGAACACACAGTTATTAACATGGATATCCACCATCACCCAGAGTGAAGCACAGCAAATCTGGGTGGCTCTGTGGCTTCTTCTCCATGCACATCTGTTGTGCCTGCTTTCCACCCTCCTTGGTGATATCTTTGTCTCCACACATCTCCTATTGTTTCCATTGCTTGTTTTCTTTCTTTCTCTTTTTTTTTTCTTTTTTCTTCCTTTTTTTTTTTTTTGAGAGGGAGTTTCACTATTGTTGCCCAGACTGGAGTGCAGTGGTGTGATCTTGGCTCACTGCAACCTCCGACTCCCGGGTTCAAGGGAGTCTCCTGCCTCAGCCTCCACAGTAGCTGGGATTACAGGTATGTACCACCATGCCCAGCAAATTTTTGTATTTTTAGTAGAGACGGGGTTTCTCCACATTGGTCAGGCTGGTCTTGAACTCCTGAACTCAGGTGATCTGCCTGCCTCAGCCTCCCAAAATGCTAGGATTATAGGCATGAGCCACCATGCCTGGCCCATTGCTCATTTTCTGTAATGCTTCCTTGCAGTCTATATATTTCCCTGATGTGCATTTGTGTCACCTACAACCATCAACCTAGGACACTCCTGACAACGACACCTGGCTCCTCTCCAGACTCTCCAATCACCTCCTTGAGGAAGACTCCATTATTTCATCGTATGTGGAAAACAGGTCCTGTAGGAAGTACTGTCATGGTGTGATGGCACAGCCAGGGGTGGGGATGGGGGTGAGGAGGGATCATTTCTGCTGGTGCAAATGCTTGTCACAAACATAACCAGACGTGAGCATCTTCATGAACTGTGCTTATTTGACATCCCCAGCCACTTGATGATAGTTGGTGGATCTGGCTGTGGGAGATCCTGGGTCCCTAGGTCTGAAGGCTGCATGGGGAAGATGCCATCTTTGCTCTTTTGATCCTAACTCTCTGTTACAGTTTAGATGTTTGCCCCCTCCAAATCTCATGTTGAAATTTGAGCCCCAATGTTGGAGGTGAGGCCTGGTGGGAGATGTTTGTGTCTTGAGGGTGGATCCCTCATGGACAGACAGATGCCCTCCCTGGGAAGGGAGTCTGAGTGAGTTTTCACTCTACTGTTCCCATGAGAGCTGGTTGTTCAAAAGAGCCTGGCATTGACCCTTCTTTCCTGACTCTCTCTTGCTTCCTCTCTCTTCCTCTCTCACATTACCCATTATCCATGAGTGGAGGCCGTCAAGGGCCCTCACCAGAAGTAGGTAGGGCACCAGGCTTCTTGTGCAGCCTGCAGAACCATGAGACAAAGAACCCTTTTTCCGTGATAAATTACTCAACCTCAGGTATTCCTTTACAGCAGCACGAAGCAGACTAGACACTCCCCAGGTGCAGAGCCCAGGGTTTCTTCTCTGGCTTTTCTGAAGCTCATAAATGAATGAACCATACTCAATATTAATAGTAACAGCATCATTTTAATAGTGCCTAAAGCAATGTGGATATAAGAGGAAACATGCATTACCTGTTGACGTTTTTCAAATTCCAACTTGATCCGGGACTTGATACAATTACATGTGTCCTGATATGTTTGCTGAAGAGCAAGCTCCATGAGGTGCTTATGGTAGGCTCCCGCCAGATTCCCACAGATGAAAATGATCACATTGGCCAGGATCTAAAGAGACAGAAAGAGTTGCTCAATAGGGTGTTTCTCACTCACGAATACAATCAAAACAAAACACACGTTAGCAATGGTCTTCAGAGACATAACTGCAGGAAGTTAATTTTACTTCTGTTTCTAAAGTAACATTTTTATTTTCTTAACAAAAAGCATGAATGTCCAGAAAGGTTCTGCCCTTTCCTTGGATCTGTGCCCTTTAGTAGAAGACTTTGCAGCCCTGTCTTGACTTTGGGCTCAGCAATGAGATTTGCTTTGCTTTGGCTTATTCAACATGCACAGAAATAATCATGTGCCAGATCCAGCCCAGGATTAGGAGACCTTTTGTTTTTCAGGTCACTCTCTGGCACCTCTTTAGGAAAAGAACACTCCCTGGCGAGCCCACCAGTCCCAGGATGAGACACATAGAGCAGAGCTGCCGTAGTCAATCTGCGGTCTATTTTTGTGTACCTCTGAGATTTCACGGTTGTTACGCACCATTATCATAATACTAAGTGACTAATACAAACTACCCTCACACCAAAATTGTATTTTCTGAGCCTGGATAAGTGACATTCCCCCTTTATCTTTTGTTTATGTAGAAATATGGTAGTCTTTCAAAACATATAACTCATTATTCTTTTGATGATAAAAACAATTCATGTTAATACAATTCAAAAGAAAAACAGAAAGACATAAAGAAAAACTAAAAATAATCTGTGACTGTCCTGCCCAGGCAGAACACTCTGCTGTCCATATGGCCTTGTCTGCCTACTCCATTTTCCTCTGTATTCTCAAAATTGGTGGCATACTTTACTTTGTCAAGACCTCGCTCTTGTTCCAAAAAGCTTCAGTTCATTCTGAATGTAGTTTTGTGCTTCGTTTTAACACTTAACAAAATATTTTTTAGATTATACAAATTATGTAGAAACACGATGTTAAATGCTTAGAAAATATTCAGTTCTATGACTATCATCATTTAGATATGTCCATATTGTTCAATACTTACTAATATTCTGTGCATTTACATTATACTATAGGAGTCAACTTCATGTATAAAGCTTTGGCTTCATATTTGATCATTTCCTCAGACACAATTACTGAAAAGCCATAAGTAGTTTAAAGTTGTTGATACATATTACAAAATTGCTCTCAGGAAATGTTCCATTTACATTCTCATCAACAGTGTATAACCATTGAACATTTCCTGAGAGCAATTTTGCAATATGTATCAGTGTAGCCCGGTATTCACTATTCACATAGAGCAAGCTCTAGTGTTCAGAGTGAGACCTACAGGTCTGTCAGTGAATGGATAGACATACCTGGTTAAAGTCCACCCTTCCCTCCATTTCCACATGACTTGTATTCTCACCTTCTCACCAAGACAGGTCACTAGTGGCTTTAATAGCAAGTCAGTGGCATCAGTTCCAAATATCCTGTGCTCTTCCCTAAGAGTTTCCCCATAACACAGATCACTTTATCACATTACTCACCCAACATGGTGAGCAGGGGTGGCTGGAGTGATCAGGGGAATTTTATTCCTAAATCTTCAAGGTTCTCTGTGACAGGACTGAACAGAAAATCATGGCTGTCCCCTCTCTCTATAGCAGGGTCACTTCTCCCAAGGAGAGCAGGAGGAATTGGTCTAGCTGGAGGGTTTGGGAAAATGATTTGAACCCTCTGCATCTTAGTCCATCCTCCCCATAAACAGGGTCTTCCTCCCTGAAGAAGGTAGTCATCATCATGTCCTATGTTCTCAGCCAAGCAGTGGACCTAGTGGGCCACTTACCCCTGTGCTGGGAAACACCTTGATTTGGGGGCAGATGGCTGTAGGGAAAGATGAGTAAACTCAGGGGATTATCAGCAAGATCATTTATTCCCAACTGCACTCTCCAAATAGGTATAAGGATAATAAGGTGACATTTTGTTATCCATGTACCGAATGCCTTTGTCTATCTCTCAAAGGGTTCTAAACACAGAAGAAAAACAGTGCTATTAATTATGAGCCTCCTGAAGTCCTAGAAAATAAATGTTTGGGATAGAGGGAAAAAAGGAGGCAGAGTTAGCAATTGGATGAATGATGTGATGAGGTTCTCTCTGAATAAATGCAGATGCGTGAAAAAAGTGGGATCCAGGATGAAGCAGATTAGAAGGGGCCTTCAATGCTGTCCCATGTAACTCCCTCATTTCACAGATACTTGGGATCAGAGAGTTCCTCAAGCTCACCCACATTCTCACAGCTCACCCCCATAAAGTACAGTTATACATGTACATTTTATCTCCTCCCCTTTAGTATGGATAATTAAAATCTTTACTGGGAACTGCTCTGTATGATCTCTGTGTGGTATATGCATGTGGTGTGCATACATGCATGTAACTTGTGTGTGATCTATGTGTATGAGCTGCATGCCTGAGTGATGTGTTTGCATGTGATATGCAGGTAATACTTGTGCTATGTGTGGAAGGTATATGTGCCCACAGTCTGTGCATGAGCAGGTGCAGCAGCCCAGGGCTTCAGAGCAATGTAGCGGTCTTCAATGTGGCTAGACACATTTTCTAGCATGACAGGGCTCTCTTCCTTCAAATTGCCATACTTTGACACATCACCTCTTCTGAAACTGTCAGTCCTAGAGCATGTGGAAAGTCCGGATGACTTTCCTGGCTTCCTATTTGAGGGGACCCTCCACTAGCTGAACAGGAGTTAATTTCAGCACTGTGTCCCATGGTGCATTGTCAATTAAGTCCTGCCATACTTTGCTTCTGCAAAATGACCATCTGCTTTGCTAAAAATTCTTCAGACCTTGTCATTGCCGGATATGCCTTGAAGAAGAGTGCACCAAAGAATGCAGGAAATGAGAAAAGCCAATGCAAACCATGCTGCTCAGAATTAGAAAATACTAACTCCTTGTTTTATTAGGTGTAGCTGAAATAATTATCAAAATAACTCAATGATTATTCATGATAGCTTTTTCTCTTTCTCCTCAGAAAATGCCTTCAAAGCAAACCTGCCAACATTTTAGGGAGTAAATTTCTCCAAAATAAAAACCAAGTATAAGCAACAGAACTGAATGAAGCCATCATCTACCCCTGGGTGCCCTCCACTAGGTATAGAAATGGTGCACTTTGATACTGACACTGAGGCTCCAATGTGAGTCTCTCCCCTCTGGAATGCAAGTGCTGCCTTGTCCTGTTTTCCTAGAATCCCATTCCACACTTATTTCCTCTGAATTCTCTTGGCTTGAAGGGCCTTGTTGCAACAGAACAGTTGGCCTTGAGTGTCACGGCTCTTTCCTTTATTGCCATAGGCTCTTCTTCCCCCACATTGGGGCAGCCTGTATAGGGAACTGCCATCTCTGTGGCAGAACCCCTAATGGCAGACTGAAGGCAGGGTGCTCCTGGCCTTGCTGCCTGGCCCAGGGCACAGAGCCAGTGTAACTGACCAGGTAAACGTTTCTTGTCCAACGAGAGGTTTCCAAATATTTGACAACAGCAGCTCATCCCAAGCAAGAGGAAGCCCCCTGGCCATGAAGCCCTAAAGTTATGCGGCTTTGCTCTTCTTGCTGCCTGTCTCCTGGCCAGTGCTCTCTGACTGCCACGTTCTGCTGGCACCCTTGCACTACCATGGCAGGTAAGGAAAACCCTTTGAGTCATTCATTCTGGATGCCGCACTGTTTCCAGCAAATGTAATTTGAACCCCTCCTGTCTATAGATAATGGTAAATAATGCATTTACTGATTTTTAATTTATATATTCAAAGGAAAATTTCTAATCAATAAAAAACATAGGGCTGTAATGCCAAATAGAATATGAGATTTCTTTTCTGATGGAAAACTTATCAATGATATTATAAGCCTGTTCCTGATACCCGGTTTCATCCTGCAGTACTATATTCTAAGGTTAATTGAATTGACCTTGGCATTTTGATAATGACACACATTTACAAATGCAATTGATGTCTTAAAGAATTTTTCTTTTAAAATGGTGCATGCATGGAATGACTTATATATAAGACCCAGGGCTGGAAGGGAGTGATTATGTTACAATTTTATTTTCAAAAATAATATCAAAGCATTTTGTTTTCTAGAAGACTGTTAAGCAGAACATCTGACAAACAATTCTATTTTCACAATGTTGAGTTTGTTTTATAATATCATCCCATCTTGATGTCTCCTTTTATCTTGTTGCTTCATTTAGCTACTCTCACAACTGTCAGAAAACAGGAGAGGAGCTTGGCCTCCAGAGATGTCTTAGAAGGAAATAAATTGTTCAGTCAAGGTTTACACTGAAGATTAAAGCCAGGTCTTGAAATTGAGCATATGTAGGGTTTGGAATCTGTGTAAGTAGAACCATGCCAGCACAACCTCACAGAGGCTTGCTGTCTGCACTGATCCCCATCTTCTCTTGACGTACATGTGGGGTGGTTTGTCAACACTTCACTTGCTTCTCAGAGGATGAAAATTAATGAATTCTGTAATTCTGGGAAGGCTGGTGTCTACCAGCAAATTATTATTATTATTTTGCTTCTTTCATATGACCACCATAGCCATTCTAAATATACCTTATATCGTTTCATCCTTAAAGAGCATAGACAGCAACACAACCAGGAGAACGGACTTATTTTATTATTTCATCTTACAGACCGGGCCACAAAAAGTCCTAAAAATTAAGTGACCTGAGAGCTGTCCCCAGGCTGGCAGAGGCTCTCCAGATTGTCCCTGTATATTCTACATCACTTCAATTCATACACATAAGGTCAGGTTTCTCCACAGCCATACAACCCCCTCTAGAGCATGGGGAAGGTGTTCCTGAGGAATTTCTAAAGAGACACATGTTATTTTGTAAGAAACTAATTTTTTTCTTTATAAAACATTTGCATTTATGCTGTAAAGTGCCTTCATCATTTAAAGTTATGTTAGGTTCTTGGAGACCATTTGCCCATGGAGGCTTTACTGGTTTTGCTAATGTGTCTGCGCGTGTGGAAAGGAGAGTGAGGGGAGGGTCAGGCTGCTCTCACCCAG